TCCAAAACCATTTCTCTCCTTCGAGCTTCCACAATACCAGAGAAATTTTGTCCACTAGTCTCGAATTTAACATCGAGTTCGCCCTTAAGAACAATTTGATTTTTGACAAATATAAAATCAGGATTTTGACACTTTTCTTTAAAGGATGTAACATTTTGCATGTCTGAGCAGAAATTGCACTGCTTTCATGAAAAAAGAAGCTACCAATAATAAAAAGTCAAAGCTCCTGATACAATTCTACCCATTTTGTTTTATCCACGCCAATAATCAGGTAAATGTGATTTCGTTTGCTGTTATGTTCGTTTTATTTATGATGCATGGAATTATGGGAATGAAGACTATTGTCTCAAATACATAGGTAATTAAGGAGGAGACAGGAGACCTTTCTAAATTGTATATTTTCATACAGGCAGGATGTAGCAGCTGCTCATATGCTCAGCATGACTAGAACTGCTTTAAAAAGCAGGCATTTTTTTTTCATTCAGACGTTTCCTCTCTAAAATTAGTCCTAGCTGAACACTGGCATAGAAAAGCAAAATTATCCATGCTAGATGATTTAAAAGTCAATGCAGCTTATGAGCTTTAACTATGGGTGTTTAGCTCTCCCCAAATTCATGCATGCTCTTGAGAGATAATTTGAGTTCTTCGTCGGATGAAACGCATCACATGCTCACCGAATTTCATGCTCAAATTATGCTTTCACTCCATGGCATAAGTGAATGACGTTTATTATGATTTTGCTATTCGTGACCATCGTAATGGCTTAAGAATAACAAAGAAAGTTTCTAGTGCTCTATGTGGCATTGTTTGTTTTCACCATGGCCTGAAACTCTGCTTCATTCTGAGGCACTGTTGAATTTCTTCTAAACGTTATCAAACAACCAACTTTCGACAGTAAAAGGACGACCTTAATATATGAAGAAGACATATGTTAGGCAAACGGATCACCATGGGTCCACTCTGATCTCAATTTCGCATCAAGAAATTATACTGACAATCAAATTGAAACTAAAATCACTCTGATCTGGCAATTTTGCATCAAATAATTATACTGACAATGAAAGTGAAACTAAAATGAGCCACAAACACAACAACGGCAAAATAAATAGATCATTCATGCAGCAAAGCAGAAGTTTCAATTTGTAGCGACGGTAAATTTATTCAAAATATAATCGTTCTGTGTTTGAGTAAATATATGGCGTTATCACTCAGTAAATGATACTAGATGGCTCTTATTTAAAAGATCGGCAAACCTAAAGGAGAGTCAAAGATGTCATACGGTGGTCTAAACATCATTAAATACATTGCAGATTGGTTAAACCTAGAGAGAGAGTCAAAGATGTCATACGGTGATCTAAACATCATTAAATACATTGCATAGTGATTAAACTACAGAGGAGAGTCAAGATGTCATACGGTGGTGCAAACATCATTAAATACATTGCATAGTGATTAAATACAGAGGAGAGTCAGATGTCATACGTGGTCCAAACATCATTAAATACATTGCAGAGTGGTGAAACCTAGAGGAGAGTCAAAGATGTCATACGGTGGTCCAAACATCATTAAATACATTGCAGAGTGGTTAAACACGACATGTCAACAATGATGCAAAAAGCAACAACTGTTTATTCTCCTTTAATTTTTAAACCAAATTCTTAAAATTTTAATCATTCGCTCATCATGAATTCATGGCCAATAGAAACGTTTGTTATCTTATGAATTATCGTGCTCAGTGCTTACAAACAAACACCACTCACTGTCACATGTATGTGTGGGTAGCTAACAGCTTCAGTATACAGAACAAACGAAGTCAGTTGTCCCTCTTTACTGTGCAACTTGGTGCTGTGCTTTTTCATTAAATAGGCTGCAGCGAGCCATTTTAACATTCTATTGGTTCAATAATGTATTTTTACTTCGCTGCACCACGTTAATCACAAAATGGACAATAATATACTTGCCCATTTGAAATTTTTATTAGTGGGACTATAGTTTCTTTCTCAACTGTAACCTTGAGATGAACATAGTTTAACTTATGAGTACAAAAAATTTATAAATGCATGTATAGTAAAGTATAGTATAGTAAAAGGTCATTTCCTTTCGTAATAATAACATATGAAAAATAACAACAATAATTTCGTGTCAAAATGCCACAAAATGAAATCAATCTTTCCTTTGGCACTTCTCTCGTACAAAACGTTCTCTTTATAAATTTATAAAATTTTCTTTATTTTATTGCTCTCCGTACTCTCAGTGCATGTTATGCGTTCTTGCGTTCACGTGCTTACATCATGTTTAGGTAAAGCTTCCATTGGCTGAAACGTCACATGCTCACTGAATATCATTCTCTGTTTATGCTCTCACTTTATAGCAAGAGTGTATGAAGTATATTACGTTGATCATGATGTTTGCTATTCATAGCTCAGGCTTTTTTATAACAAAGAAAATGTTTTTAGTAGTTTTCATACGGTTGATGAAGCTGTCAACTGTATCAATTTTTACAACATTTGTAGCTACTTTGTAGTGGTAAATCTTTTGTCGAGATTGTTTACAGAAGTTGGTCGGCCATATTGGCCATCTACACCTAAGCCTTTGAACAAAATTTTGAAGAATTATGGTATTCAAATTTCAAACAGAGAACGATTGGTATAGCAAATGACAAGATTACTTTATTTTGTTGGTTATGTCGGTGTAACTTTTGCTCATTTTAGTATGTAGCTCAAGTAAGAAAGACGTCCTTGCCCCAAGTTGGTATAAATGTGAGTGCTCGGAAATAATCTTTCGTCAAACTGATTGAGTAGTGGTTGCTTGGGAGAGAAAAAGTGTAAAGACAATGTCTCCCAGGTCCGTTTTAACACTTCATTCCAACTTTCGAAATTTTCATTTAGATAAACTTCGACTTTGTCATTGTCTGTTTTCAGCTTCTTTCATGCAATGAAAAACGTCCATCGACATTCACTTATTACAAGAGCTAGCGCCTGTTGTATCATAAATATGTGTAGAACAAATTAATTTCATGTTCCTGTGTGTTTTCTGTTATAGCATGAAGTAATAGTACAGGTAGCTTTTGTAAAGTCAATTGTAAAATTGTCCGAAATCTTAGTCCCATTTACAGAAATCGCATGCAATGTAAGAGACAGCAATTTTGCATCAAACGACAATGATTATCGACAATGAAAATGAAACACAAAATGAGACACAAAGACTATAGCAACTATGAAATAAATATATCACAATGAAAATTGACAACTTTCTAAAAGTGACTACCGCAAAGAAAGTCGAAACGTCAGTCAATACGAGCACCAACAGTCAAACTGGATATACATCTACAAAGATGTAGATTTAAGTCAATTGCAGTTGCAATGTATAGCAGTTGAATAACTGCAATCAAAAATAAGTTATCTCTAATACTGATAGTTCTGTAGCTTATGTTTTAAAATTTCCAATTTCGTTAGCACGGCCATTATCATTATACGCAGCGAAATTCAGATACTTAATGAATGGAGAAACTGCAAAATTAGCCATTGGTGTGCTATGCTTTGACGGCCAACGACGAGTATCCTCGTCGAAAATCATATCATAAGCATAAATTTCTAGCCATTTCCTGGGTAAAATATTATAATATCACAAATTGCAGACAAATATAATATCCAAGTGCAGTTTCCGACTGAAAATTTTGCTACCCTTCCACTTTCCGTTGATATTGAATCATGATTTGTCAAGAAGATAACGAGGATATCTCATGTTTAAGTAATTTGCTTTGTTTTGTATTCTTTGTGTGAACGCGAGTCATCAATAATATAGTCATATGTTTAGGTTGCTATCTGGCTCTTGTACAGCCAATAACTAGATTTTGGCTTTGCCTTTTGGCTGCATTTGGCCTTTATCACTTCTTTGGACTGTAACTTTTCTGTCATTTGAACCATTACAGTGATGAGACTGTCACAGTTAATTTTGCTACACCGTGAAATTAAGTATTCCTTGGAAAAAACGCTTACAACGCACAATTAGGAGAAGATCCATATTTTTTACGAGCAACATGTCCCTCAGTTTACCAAGTTGATATTTTAATAATAGCAGATAATCTTTTCAATTATTTAAAAATTTAAATCAATGTAAGTTAGTATGACGATGCATATGTGAGAAATGTTTAGTACCTACGCTCCCTTGATTAGCTACAGTGTCTAAATTCCGTGTGTATGAGAGTCTTTATTCTCGGTCTCCTGTCATACAACGCTTACTTTTTTATCAAACACTATTTGAATTTATGTACCTTGAATAAATCTTTATTTTCTTAATGCAAAGTCGCCATGCTAAAGCATATTCTATGTATATGATAATCCATGAGTGGATTCTGAAAAACAACAATGAAACAAATTTGATAACATGCAAGTCGCGCAAAAATAATGCCCGAAGAAACAAAGAAGCTTTGAGCCATGAGAGATAGCTAATAAAGGCCATCTGTCAAGGACGTTGAACTCTATAAATATTGTTCAATAATTAAGAACTATTTTATATTTTGCCATTTTCCGCACTTGTTTTCTTTCGTAACGTAAACTTATCTACTTGTCTTTAAGTTTTGTTGTTTTTGTTAACGATTCTCTAATACATTTGAGAAAGCTTCAAACTCATACAGCAACGAATCATTTAAGATTTGTCTTGATACAATGTAACGGATGCAATGTGGTTGTTCTGCATAATCTAAATAAAAAAAAATGACAAGGGACAATCATTCTGTAAACTTTCTAAACAATCATTATCAAAGCCTCAACAAATATTGAAGTTGCATGTCTGGGTACCACTGACTGGAATATAGAAACTGGAATCTCAATTTGACTATAGCTATGGAGAAAATTTCTATACAACTACGGTCTAAATGGCAAAAGGCAGCTACCAAGGCAACTGCTACAACTGCTAAGTATTTCAAATGAAAATGCGATAGTTTCCACGGTTGAATTCAATTTTGACGTGTTCGAAATGAAATCTACGTATAAAAAAATATGTTGTATGTCACTTCCGGATAGATGTTCTGCATTTTCATTTGTGCTTTTGCACTTAGCAAAAACTGAAATAAACAAATAGCCAAGACAGGGTCTTTCTGTAAAACATTTACGCTTTTGTAAAGTTTTTTATTTCTGAAGCGGGAAGTTAATTACTCCACAACTAGTTGTTGGAACAAATGCACAACATGTGAAGTAGTGAAGGTAGATTTGCACAGCATGTGAAGTAGTGAAGGCAGATTTGCACAGCATTCACTGCATGAGATGTGGCACGCACAATATTGCTGCATATAGTACATGATACAACTATATGTAGATACCTTAATTTTTTGGGGATTGATTTCAAACTGTTCTTCTTGTCCTAAATCAATAGACAAAAGATAAAAGAAGAATTACTTATTTCAAGACGTGTATAAACTCTCTATGACTATTTACAGTATAACATACACTTCTCTATATTGACTACAGTATACCATTTACTTCTCTATGACTGACTACAGTGTAACATACACTTCTCTATGACTGACTACAGTATAACATACACTTCTCTATCAGGGGCGGATCTAGGATTTTTCAAACATCAGTCATAAAACGTCAAAGGCGCTCCGCACCTGGGGGGGGTCTGAGGCATTCTCCCCTGAGAAATTTTGAATTTCAGAGCCTTGAAAATGCCATTTTCAGCGTTTTAGAGCAATACAAAATGTATTTTGTGGGCATCGTTTTTGCGTAAAAACAACACATTTTGCTTACGTTTTTTCAAAAAAAAAAATGAAGTGAACAATACTTGAATGTTTTGCCAAATATTTAGGCTCATTATCATGCCAAATATATGGCTCATTAGCATGTCTAGGAACGTAAAATTTATTTTACAATAATGCTATTCAAAAACAGATATAGTCTTTAAAAATTTCTACCAAGTTGTCAGGCATAGACCCCCCTAGAGACCCCCATTCAAACCTCTATGTAATGAGTTTAGTTAAGTTAAATTTGGTACTACAAGTGACAGTTCATAGATATAGAAAGCTCAGACTTCAAACCATGCAAGTTTATTGTAACTCTTTACCCATCTCCACATCAGTGCCAGCAAATTCACCTTTTGAGAAAAACTCAAAATTTTTCTGCCAAAGGTTAAGCAAAATTATCAGAGTGAAAATTTGCAGTTAAGGACAGCTTAATGCCATAAATGTTTATTAGGCATTTCACTAGACTTTTATCTCCTGTAAGTATATGCAAAGTGTGCTATATAGCAATCACTAGTAGCATTGTATTTGCAAATACAAACAGAATGTAACCAACATGTCTTTAATTATATAATTACATGAATGTTAAAACTGGTTCATGTGTCATGCTTACTGGTTATGATAAATATCTTTTCATATGATCAAAGCTTGTTTAAATGTAAATCAGAAATAATTTAGTTTAGAAATTATAATGATCATCAGAAAAATACTTTGCTGTTTTGCCAAATTTCAAGGTTTATCTGCATACATAGAAAGACATTTTTACTTTATAGAAAATGCTTTTCATACATCAATAGCCCTTTGGAATTTATGGCAAACAATCTGGTATGAGCGTGATTAACACACCTTTACATCTCTACATGAGGTGTTCAGTTAGAAAAGGGACAATATGTGACATGGGACAACATTCCATGTATGTGATACTCAGGTTTAATACCATTCCAGTCAAATTGTCAAAATAAAAGCTTCATGGATCAGAAGACTCAAAATCACAGGTTATAGTAAACAGCTTCTCATGTAATCAATGTTAGTTTTCTCAAATCTTAAACAATATGTAGTATAACTGTCAATGATTGAATGATCAATGATCATTAACTGAAAAGCCCCAAACATTTGTTTATGTTAAAGTAAATAATAGTATGGCGCCTTATGGCTACAGATTTTTGTCCATTGAAATATATTTGCAGGAATGTAGGTTTCGCTGCCATATAACGCCACGATTCCCCAAGCACTAAAGAAATCATAGCTAAAGTCCTTCGTCAACAACAATTTTAGAAGCATCGATCTGCTTACCATACGCCATATTGACATAAATCGCATCACACACTCGCATAATTGACTTTGATATAATACATTCATGCATACACTTCACTTGTCCTTTACTTACGATTTTGGATGTAAATTTCTGCTGATAAAACTCAAAACAATGTTGGCTTTCTTTTGAACATCAATGACTGAAATGTCGCTCGCGAGATCGTCTTTGCCAAGCATTTAAAATTTATCCATAAATTTCGACCCTCTTGAAAAAATTCACATTTTGAACAGCAGCATTCATGTCAATATATGAATTTGTAAAAGATTTCCATAAATTCCATCTGATTGTAGTTTAGTTTCTATCATGCTTATAAAAATTACTATAAAACGATCAAACATTCAATTCAGACAGTGAGCTTGACTATGTTAGTTCAGTTGGCTATCAGTCGAAATCCGTCAAACCAATCACAATAAAGCAAAATTCAAATGAACCAATTGTAAGATAGCAATTGGACTCCCTTATCGTCCGGCCACCCTTATTATCAGTCGAGACCATTCCAGACTGTCCACTGATCTGGCTATTGACCAATAAAATAAGCGTTTTTGACGTTCATAGACTCCTTTATCCGTCGAACCAGTCAAGCCACCCCGCTTATCAGTCGGTTATTCAGGTCAATTAAAATTCAACTGATCTGGTTACCAACGAGATATTCATTGGATTAGTCATTAGTTTTCAATAATAAATAATGCGGATTTTATCACGAAGTAAATGCGATAAGAAAATAAGAATAATTAATGATTTTTAATTAATATAAATAGGTAATTTTTGAATTTCAAACATCAGTCGCGCGACGGATTTGACATACTCTAGATCCGCCCCTGTTCTCTATGACTGTCTACAGTATAAAATACACTTCTCTATGACTGACTACAGTATAGCATACACTTCTCTATGACTGACTACAGTATAAAATACACTTCTATGACTGACTACAGTATAGCATACACTTCTCTATGACTGATACAATTATAACATACACTTCTCTATGACTGACCACAATTATAAGATACACTTCTATATATTGACTACACCATAAAACACACTTCTCTATGACTGACTACAGTATAGCATACACACTTCTCTGACTGACTACAGTATAACATACACTTCTCTATGACTGTCTACAGTACAACATACACTTGTCTATGACTGACTACAATTATAACATACACTTCTCTATGACTGACTACAGTATAATAACATACACTATGACTGACTACAGTATTAAGATACACTTCTATATAACTGACCATAAAACACACTTCTCTATGACTGGCTACAGTATAACATAAACAAATTCTCTATGACTGACTTCTGTATAACATACACTTCTCTATGACTGACTACAATTATAAACATACACTTCTCTATGACTGACTACAGTATAAAATACACTTCTCTATGACTGACTACAGTATAACATACACTTCTCTATAACTGACTACAGTATAACATACACTTCTCTATGACTGACTACAGTATAACATACACTTCTCTACAACTGACTACATAACATACACTTCTCTCATAACTGACTACCAATTATAAACATACACTTCTCTATGACTGTCTACAGTATAACATACACTTCTCTATAACTGACTACAATTATAACATACACTTCTCTATGATGACTACAGTATAACATCTACTTCTCTATAACTGACTGAGTATAACATACACTTCTCTGACTGACTACAACATATCGTTTTTGATTTCTTACCAAGTTCACTATTTTGAGGACGAGTAATGTTGATGACAAAATGACTACTTTGATTAATCAAAGAATACATTCATCCATGAAATTAAAACTAATACCTTTGTGTCATCAGTATGAGTTAAGACAGTCGAGACGTGCTTCAGTTGCTGTCTTTTTAACAAATATTTCATCAGCAAAACTCATTCTCACTTCTAGTAATGGAAAATTTGACCCTTACGACAATTTTATTGGCATATAACACGTAGATATGACATGGGTGCATCAAATTTGCTTCCATAAAATGAAGATATATTGAAGGTTTTACAAAATTAACCATTGTTGAGGTAGGGTAGTAAGTCGCAACCAAGAAGGTTCAAAGGAAGGAGGTGCACATTAAAGAAAAACAAACTCGCACTAATGATATTATAGGCAATTGAACATACGTTAATATTTTGTACACCACAAAACACAAATATAGAGCCCACCTTCCTTAACTTTGCCAATGCATTTAACTGAGACTTCGAAATTACAAAGAAACAAACACGTGATTGAGTTAATAACATGGAGACCATATGGATGTATGGGGCACATGGAGGTGTAGTGCACTGGGGTGTCTACGGCCCCTAATTACTGCCACTGACTTGTAATTCAATAGAACCATTAGTTGGCCTAAACGATGTTAAAGATGCATCACTTGTGGTCTGGGACAAAGGAAGCAACACAGACAAAAATTCTGATTAAGTGGCTAACTGCAAGGAAAGGAATCTCTCTTATCACCTGAGGTATTCTTAACATGGTCATTTTTCCCACTTTGCACTCTTTTGTCAGTTCTATTTAGCATTTTGAATGTTATCAATAATTTGTTGTTAGAACTTATTCACAAAAGATGTCTAAACTTTAATTTGCAAATAGGATTCAACAATCTTTGTGAAAAATGGTTTCCTTGCGTCTTGAAAAGTGTTTCCTTGTGTTATAAATATATGATCATCGTATTTAAAATGATTAGAAATATTGACAGTCAAAGAAACAAATGCAATGAACTTAGGGTGCCACCCAAAACGAATGAGTTTCAGACTTTCAACCTGTGATTCAGACTCAACAAATGTAGTTTTGAGCAGAAAACGTAACAATCGTCAACTCTTGGATTAATGTTAATTCTGCATCATAGAAAAGACGTAATTTTACTACAACAAATAACCTTTAAATTAGGACGTTTTTACACCAGAACAATTTTCCTAGTTGACTAGCTCTACTTCTTTGACTTTTGAACTTGAATTTGTGTTTTTGTTTATGTGCTTCATTGCATTATTTTGTTTCATATCTTTTGTCTTTGTTTTGCTTAATATAAATATGTTAAAATATAAAACTAGGCGTTGTTATGCTTTGCTTTCAGCTTCCGCGTTTATCAAACGTCGACTGAAAATGTTAACCTTTCTTTTAGCTTCAACATTTAGTGATAAACAAAATTTCTTCAACTCCAGCATTAATTTTCATATTAAATTGTATAGGAAGACGTATGAAATGGCTTTGTCGTCCTAATGTTTATGAAAGTGGATATGAAGAATCGAGATTTAAGACTGTTGTTGATATAAATTTTTACTGTTCAATTTGTCTGAATGTGATGAAAGATGCCAGAATGTGCCATAATCAACACAATTTTTGTCGTGAATGTATTGAAGAACATCTACGAGTTAATGCACAAAGATGTCCTCAATGTCAAGATGATTTAACTTTGGCTACGCTTCATCCAGCGCGTGTTATAAATAACGTGATTTCAAAGTTAAAGATCAACTGCGACTACGCCAGTCGTGGTTGTCCTGAATTTATAAATGTCGAATATCTTGAAAGACATGTTCAAAATTGTGGCTTTGCTCCAGTGTTGTGTTCTAATGAACGTTGTGGTCTGGAAATAAACAAACGAGACAAGATTAAACATGAAACTGAATTATGTGAATACAGAAAGATTGCTTCTCACGACTTTCGAGAGATTGGCGAAATGTTTCAACGAAGTTTTGAAGATAACTTAAGCCGGAAAATAGAGGAAAAATTTATTGAAGTAAAAGAATCAGTGAAACCATTGACAGCTCAGTATACAAAAATACAGAAAGAATTAAAATATGTTCAACAAAATCTTTCTACAGTGACCAAAGAAATGATGGAATCAAGGAAACAAATAAAAGATGTTCAACAAAATCTTTCTGCAGTGACCAAAGAAATGATGGAATCAAAGAAAGAAATAAAGGATAATCAACAAAATCTTTCTGCAATGACCAAAGAAATGAAAGAAATTAAAACCGTGATGTTTCAAATATTACAAAAGATGAATATAAATGAACCACATGTTCAAACATTGACATCATCAATTGAAATGTTGATGCACTCTGTAAAAGGTGTTATTTTGATTGCTGGAGGTTGCTCAAGTGGTCCCGGAAAGAGTGTTGAAATATTTTCATGGAAGGAGGAGAAATGGTTTAATATTGTATCAATGGAAAATGGACACAGGTGGGCTTCATCATTTATTTATAATGATAATTTATTTGTTGTTGGAGGTGATGGCTACAAGTCAATGGAGACATTGAATTTAAAACAGTTTCCTTTTACATGGAGAAAATTTCCTGCAGAGCTTCCTTATAGATGTTGGGGGCATCAAACTATTGTTTGTAAAGAACAAATCTTTCTCATTGGAGGATACATTGCTGACAAAGGAAAATCGGATTTGATCAGTGAAATAAACATTACTGGTTCAACATGTTATGTTGTCAAAGAGTTGTGTCATATGCCTGAACAACGTTGCCGCCATGGAGCTGTTGTTGTTGATGATAAAGTTCTTATTTTTGGAGGATATGGAAAAGATGGCAAAGTTTTGTCCAGTGTTTTGGAATTTGATCCAAGGACTCTTACATTTAAGGAAATGCCTCCATTACCTCATCCATTGGATGGAATGGCAACAGTTCAATGGAGAGATCAAGTTGTTCTTCTTGGAGGTTCTGATGGAAAAGAGTATTTGAACAGTGTTATCATGTATGACCTAAAACAGGTAAGATTACAGTCTTACCATCCATGTTGGAAAAGATTTGGGTGTTGTGCAGTTATAACAGTGATACAATTGTTGTCATGGGAGGTATGAATGATAAAGGTGAATATCTTAAATCAGTGGAATGTTTTGAGATGGGAAGTAGTTCTTCTTGGGAATATCTTCCTTCAATGAACAAGGTTCGATTTAAGTCCATGGCCGAAGTTTTACCTTTTGGACAAAAGTATGTATAAGCAAGAAAACGTTCATCAAATGTTATACCTTACTAAAAATTCTTGTAGCTTACACTGGATGATAAATATGTAAAGTTAAATGTGTAAACCTTTAAACTTGTTGAGAAATTATTTCTCCACTGATTCACTTTAATGATATATATACTGTATATTGCAAGTTGTATCATAAAATACTATATACAGCACATGTCTATCACAAACTTTGCTCACCAATTAAGAATTATATATTTACATGTTATTTGTATAAATGGTATTTTTCAAATATATTACATGGATTTGCTTACATCTTTATTAAGATATACGTTGAATTTGTTTTGACTATTTCCTATGAAATATACAAAATCAATTTGTTGAGAGACTATTTACATGGAGTACGGTAACCCCAGCAGAATGTTATCCTAGAAACGAGTCACCCTACGTAAATATGTTTTATAAGCGTTCACATGCGCGCAAGGTGCACCTAGGTAGGGTTACACTAACACCAACATTTAATCACTTCTTAAGACTACACCAAACTGTAGCGTTCACACATGCGCGCTAGGGCACCCTAGTGGTAGGTTTACCCTAATAACACCAATATTCAATCACTTCTTAAGACTACACCAAACTGGATATCAATTTTCCTTAGTACTGCCATTATTATTATACGCAGCAAAATTTAAAACGTGACATACTTTATATGCATGGTAAAATTACAAGAATGAAACTGCACCATTAGCTGTTGTGTACTGTATTTGACCACCTACGACGTTATATACTCGTACAAAGCACGTGATACGTTTCTTGCTATTTACTGGCTAAAATGACATAAATATGACAAATTGTTATTGCAGCTTCAGATTGAAAATTTTGCCACCTTTCCAGTTTCCGCTTTAACAATAAAATAACGAGAAAATTTATGTCTGAGAACTTTGTATTCTTGATGTGAACGTGACGTCATTAATAATACAGTCGCCATGTTTAGGGTTTGTAACCTGGTTTTTATACGTCAAAAAAGTACATTTTGGCTTTCATTTTTTGTTTTGCGTTTTGGCTGCAATTTATCTTTTTCATTTCAATGGACTGTAGTTTTTCTGTCATTTAAACCATTATAAGATGGGTGGGACAGTCACAGGGATTTGTGCTACACAGTGAACTTTAATATTTTTCGGAAAAAACGATTATAACGCACAATTATACCAACAAAATGTCCCTCAGTTTAACAAGTTAATATTTTAATAATAAACAGTTTTTACATGAGGTTGAGCATGATATGTAGAATTATTCAGACCGAGTTCAATGTCATCTGCCGAAGCAAAGCTGGGGGCGGATAACATTGACAGAGGTATGAATAATTGTTGATATCATGCGAAAAAGGAATTGAATAATTGTTTTATCATTCAACTCAACAAACTGAAATATTATTTACACTCATCAATGTAAAACATTTCCAAAACTGCCCTTATTTGTATTTGTTAAACGGTTTTTTCGAGTTCTTCTTGTTTAAATATGCTGTAAATATGTTCGAAACCAGCTTCGTCGCTTTTTTAGTGTTTTCCTCATCAATTTTGTTCAAAATCTTTCGCTTATTGTTTTTAAAAACTGTGGTAAACATCAATTTATTTGATTTTTTTCAAATAGGGCTTTTTATGGCGTCAGTCTATAATTGCAGAAACTATTTTTCGTAGATATGATACCTACAGATATCAAGGATTAGAACATAGCCAAAATCACTCGGCCAATCAGCGTTCAGCATTTTGATGTTCCATATTGCAGTGTGTAAAATGCGGAATGGAATGAAAACAATGGAATACAATTAAAAAGCAATGGTATTCACTAAATCTCATTTTAATCCATATATAGAGAATACTAACAAGATATTGTTTTTTATTGTTTTCCTTATTAGTATTCTCTAAATAGAAAATACTAATGAGGTTAAAGGATACTAATGACTGTCGTAACTCCACATTACATTTCATCTCTGAATAACTAACAAGGTGATGAAATTTAACGCGTTTCTAACGCATCTCGATGATGTAAATATATTCATGTTAAAACTAAAATAACTCTAATGAAAAAATTGGAAAAACTAATAATTACTCACAAAATTAAAAGCAAACACATGTGTATTACATAAAATGAAACAACATACGTGTTTTCTCATGTTAAATAACTTTAAAGTACGTCGTGTATTTGTCGTACTAACACTTTCTTCTTATCTACGTCAATTTTCTTTGAACTTGAAACATCCACTGGAGCAGGTTGTTGAAGTGCTTTAAAAACTGACATAACCAGAGTAGAACTTGGCCTTTTGCATCATCTAACAATGATGTGCTTCGATAACCAGTCCGACACATTATTGTTTGTTCATCAATGAAAATGTTCCTTTCTTAGAGGGTTGTTGGACATAACCTTTCAAAATCATTTGAAAATCTTCAACCTTTCATGTCAATGTAATCTACCTCGCATTGTTCGTAAATATTTATAGAACGTGTTTAATTTAACAGGTTGTGAGCTATACCAATCCAATGTCCTCCCTGGCTTATAATTTTCGAGAGTTTTGAACAAAAACCTGCCTTTATGGAACACATCTCAAATTCTCGTTGAAAACAATCATCATCTGTAAACTAAAGATACTTGTATAAGAATACAGCATCTTAAATTCAGTACCATAAGTAATCCTTCTGGCTTTGGCCATGCATTGTTCTAAGACGGTGCCTAGTGAATGAAATTTTATGTAATGCGAAGGTTTCTCAATCCCATAGAGCACACATGATCGTGCTCTACCCTTACTAATTTGCAGGTAGTTGACCAAATCACTAGCAGTTAGTCATCTAAATATTTCAAAATTCAAATTTCATGTAGGTTGGTATAAAGAAATGTCTAGTACTTATATGCTCCAATGATTAGGTACGGTGTCTAAAATTTTAGAATTCCCGTGTGTATGAGAGTCTTTGTACTTCTGTCATACAACGGCGGTCTTTCATCAAACATTATAAAATAAACACAATGAAACACGTGTGCTGATTGGTCTAGAGCTGTGTTTGCATTAGCCTGTGCAAAACACATCTGAGCTCTACCAATCAATTCAATCGTAAAAATTAACCAGTCAATGAGAATTGGCAAATCGATCATGAATAAATTTAAGATGAAAAACTAAAATGTTCGCCTGTTTCGCATTATTGTTATTTTATAAAACAAATAAAAGATGTTTCTCGTGTTTGCACTGACTTGTGGAAACCTTGGAGACGTTTGTGAGAACTCTCGAGCATGTGCAACACTCGATCTTCGGTCTCAGGCTTGCACTAATCTATTCTGATTTCTCCCAAAGGTCTCCTCGGTTTGCATAAGCCTGTGCAAGCACAGTAAACATCTTTATTTCTTAAATGAAACACAATTCATACTAGGAATCAAAAAGGAAAGATTTAAAATTTAAAATGATATCACTAACCTTACCAGCTGTTAATAGTATGATGCCCTTCGGAGCATTGTTGTCCGAGGGCGCAACATCATTGGTCAGCGGTGATCCAGTCATGGGTATCACTCTAAATAGGAACGGATAATGAAAATGAGTAATGTGGATAAAGGACGTGGTGAGGGTGATTGGGGATTACGGTAATGATGGTTTGGGATAAAATGATGGTGAGGGTTAATGTGTGATAAAGATAATGGTGGTAAGGGTGATTGTGGCTATGTGAGTTTTGGATAAGAACAAGACTTTACGTAATATGAATGACCTCTCCAGGTTTTGGAGCTCTCATACTTTTAACACGAACAATTCACGAACGAAGTTTTGTAAAGTTTCATAGCGAAATAACGACACAAATGATCCATATTTGATCTATTTGATCCATACGTACGTTCCTGATATTACGATATTTACTTAAAGTATGAAGAAGAACTTTTGCAATGGGAGATCAAAACAAGTATGCGCAGGTTATGGGTGACTGGGGGCAGGCTTTAAAAATGATGGTTAACTACAACTGACAATTATCTACCTGAGCTATTGATTTTGCAAAGAGAGATTTCACACTGGCATTCTAAAATAAAAATAAAACTTTTGTTTATAAACAAAGAAAAGAACACTTCTTAGCAATGAACGGTTATATATTTTGGAAAGTAGTTCTGGTAAATTGACGAATTTTTTAAGGGGAGGTAATCCAAATCACTTGATCAATTTACATGGTGTCGTAACTCGTTGTGTTACTCATCCTTTATCAAGTATAAAATTATCAATATAAATTCATAAAATAGTAACTCCCCTACCACACCACCACCCGTGTCCGTCACTCTGGAAATAAAACATCATATGGTGTCGTAACTCATTGTGTAACTCATTCTTTATCAAATATAAAATTATCAATATACGTACGTAAGATAGTGACTTTCTCCCTCCTTCAGCGTCCGTCACTCTTGAGAAACAAAACATCACATATGGTTGTTGACAAACACAAAATTATAACAGTTCATTCTAACCTTGACTTAACAGACATGTTGTCAGTCCTGATCCTGATGCTTGAAGCTCTGTTATGTACGCTGTCACCTAGCAACAAACGAAATCACGGAAGGTGGTAAAGGAATTGTGGCAAGTGAAGTCTGTCAATGCTTTGGAAACTTTGAATCAAAGACTGGTCTCCGATATTTCATCAACGCTAAATAATTTGAGGTCTCAAAAGATCAACACATCGTCCGTAGTCTTTGTTAAAATACAAGTTCTCGGAGAAAGTAAAGTGTTTTACAAGTATTAAAACAAATTTCACTTTCAGGAACAAATTCTCTGTACGTCAGAGAACAGATCAATGAGCTCGTTCAAATGTGTCACTTTCACAGACTTAAAGGATTGTCTACGTACGTACGCACCTGCGCAGTAATGGCTCAATCAACATTTCCTGCGTTGTCTATAAAAAGAACAAAATTCTATCTTAGGAAGAGTAACTGATACCAGAAGAGGTCCATCTACAGGTGTCCCAAAAAACGGAACGCAAATAAATTAATTATGTATTCGCTGAAATTGCCATGCAAAATAATGTAATTAGCTGTTTTCACGAAGACGTGGAAAGGCCAGCGAGGGCCTTATCTTACTGAGTATTGAAGGTATTGGTTGAGTTACAATGTGAAGATTACTTTGCAATTTTTTTAGCCTTTAATCATAAAATTCTATGGTAAAAGTCTAAAAGGTATACACCTCTGAAAATCTGCCAGGAATCACAAGTTGCATAGAATAATGAGATAATTGTCCCAATGAAACTCTTTCTACAAATATGTGATGATATAAATGTCAAGTATATACATAATATGCTATCTGTTTGCATTCTATATTTTAGTCACTTATTAGTTAATTATTTTGAAGGTAGTGACACAGGTGCCCCAAGTTTATAAAGACATCAATGGTGTAACAGAATTTCTCAAAAGCAGCAAGATTTGCAAATGTTAGTGCATATCAGATTTTTCAGCCAGGTTGTTCGACTAAACACTGAACTCACTTAGAAATTCTAAATTTCATTTGTACATTCTGAAAAGGTAAAAACAACATTTCAAGACCTGGAATGATATATTGATGTAGTGGAAAAACTGGAAAAAAATTGTAAACTTGGATATGCCAATGATCTTGAAGGATGGGATGTAGTTTAGACACCACTGGTTGTGCTTAGGTAATGAAAGACTTGACCTAAAATACCAAACATTGTATTATTTCATCACAAACAAAACAGCATACAGTACTCGTAACAGACTAAAAACTGTATTCTCTTTCACATGTGACTCTAAAAGTGGCAAGTAAATAGTTGGTTTAATTTACATTGGACCAACTTATCTCTGATGTGACACAGACGTTTATATGGTGGTGAGCCATATAAGTCATTACAAGAAAGATAATCAATATAATTTCAATACCTTAACAACTTCAATGATTGGACTCTTATAAGCATTTGCAGTCTGTGCTTTGGCTTTTTGAATGCATTTTAATATTCTTTCACTCCTGTTCTTTACTGTAGAAATACAAATACATATGCTTAAAATCACAAACAACTTCAGCGGATGATTGGTTACTTCATCCATAACAACACTTAATGTATCGACTTAATTCTTGTGCATTATTTGTAGACAAAACCATGTAAAATTTTTTTAGGTCAAAGCAGACGTAATCTTGATGATATACACCTCAGTTTAGGGTGTACTCCAAAATTTCTTCAGGGGTACAAATACGGTTTTGAAAATAATAACAACATGGGAGGTTTGAATTAAATCAACAGCTGATTTCAAATTTTATTATTTTATCCTAATAATTACATGAACAGTCAATGATAATACACAATTTTGTTCACAAATTTACCTTTGAGTAGAAAATCTGCTATATAATCGTTCAATTTATTTTCTTGCTCATCAATCGACATGGATGTATTTACTACCGTAATAGGGCAAAATAGGTAGTTTAATTTCTTTGACTCTGCCTGCCAACATTCTTTGGGACTTCTCGCTTTCTTTTCGGTGCCATTCACCATCACTACAACTCTATATATCTGTATATCTTTAACATAGGCAGAAAATTTTGCTCCGATATTCAAAATTTGAAGTGAAGTAACAAATATTTCAAAAACATTGCTCGCTTAAATTCTCAAATTTTGCGCGGTCATAATCAAGTCGTTTTCGTAATGGTTTCCATCCATCAAAACTACATTTATATCACGGTCTACTGGGAGAAAGACTAGGACCTGATAAATATTGAAGTGAAACAAAACAAAATTTTCGACATAAACGGCGTTTTACATTTTAAAATTATTAATTATTCATTTTCTTTATTTAGCTATTTTAAATCATATTTTATGTAATAGTCCATTTGTTTAAAAAAACAAATGTGACTATGACTAATGCGACATAAATTATTAAGTTTTATCTCTTTTCATCAGCATTAAAGAGAGTCGATTGTTTATGTTTGGTTTTAAAAGATATTTGATAGAATTTTTGTACACACTCTTTAAACTTAATTTTAATTTTTGAGTTTGACAAAGTAGTCAAACATTTAGGGAATGGGTTCTAAATAGTTGTGCCAACGATTGCAATAAAAAATTCCATCCTTTTCGAGACGTTTCAGTGATTTTACGTACACATTTTCATAAGGTAACCGTCTAGTAATTGCATTGAACTAAAATACATGGAACGCTACCTGAAGAAATTATCGAAGCCAAATCTTACACCCAGACAAGCGTGTTAAGTATTTCGAGATTCTCTAGCGGAGTGAAAATTGACTGACTACAAACGCGTGTCTGGATGTAATCTCGCGGTGTCTGGGTGTAAAAAATTTACCTTCAAAATATTATTAGGCTTATCTATTACGATAGCGTTCCATGTATTTTAGTTCAATGGGTAATGGAAGGAGTTCGTATTTTGCGTGATATACAAATTTGAAAACAAAATTTTCTTTCTTTTATTGCTCTCCGTACTCTCAGTGTATGTTATGTGTTTTTGTGTTCACATGCTTACATCATGTTTAGGTAAAGCTTCTCATTGGCTGAAACGGGTCACATGCTCACTGGATATCCTTCTCTGATTGTACTCTCTCTTTATAGCAAGAGTGTATGAAGTATATTACGTTGATCATGATGTTTGTTATTCATAGCTCAGGCTTTTTCATAACAAAGAAAATGTTTTTAGTAGTTTTCATACGGTTGAAGAAGCTGTCTACTGCATCAATTTTTACTACGTTTGTAGCTACTTTGTAGTGGTAAATCTTTTGTCGAGATTGTTTACAGAAGTTGGTCGGCTCGTATTGGCCATCTGCACCTAAGCCTTTGAACAAAGTTTTGACAATGTATTCAAATTTCAAAGAGAACGGTTGGTACAGCAAATAACAAGATTACTTTATTTTGTTGGTTATGTCAGTGTAATTTTTGCTCATTTGTAATGTAGCTCAAGTAAAAAGACGTCCTTGCCCTAGTTGGTATAAACGTGAGTGCTCGAAACAATCTTTCGTCAAACTGAATTGAGTAGTGGTTGCTTGGGAGAGAAAAATTGTAAAGACAATATGTCTCCCAGGTCCGTTCAACACTTCATTCCAACTTTCGAAATTTTCAATTGGCTTAACTTCGACTTTGTCATTGTCTCTTTTCAGCTTTCCATCAATGAAGAAAGTCCATCGACATTCACTCATTACAAGAGCTAGCGTGTTGTCTGTTGTATCATAAATATGTGTAGAACAAATTAATTTCATGTTCCTGTGCGTTTTTCTGTTATAGCAGGAAGTAATAGTACAGGTAGCTTTTTAATAAAGTCATTGCTTTCATAAAAGTGTCGAAATCTTAGTCCCATTTACAGAAATCGCATGCAGTGTAAGAAGACAGAAATTTTGCATATTCTATGTATCCTAATAATCCATGAGTGGATTGCAAAAACAACAAGAAACAAATTTGATAACATGCAAGTCGCTATAAAATAACGCCCGAGAAGAAACAAAGAAGCTTTGGGCCATGAGATAGCTAATAAAATATCATCATAAAGGACGTTGAACTCTATGAATAACAGTTCAATAATCAAGAACTATTTTATATTCCTGCCATTTTTCGCATTTTTTCTTTCGCAACGTAAACTTATCTACTTATCTTTAAGTTTCGTTGTTCTTGATAACGATTCTCTAATACAATTTAGAAAGCTTCAAACTCATACAGCAACGAATCATCTAAGATTTGTCTTCATACAATGTAACGGATGCAATGTGGTTGTTCTGCGTAATCTAAATGAAAAAATTGACAAGGGGAAAACATTCGTTAAACTTTCTAAACAATCATTATCAAAAGCCTCAACAAATATTGAAGTTGCGTATCAAGGTATAACTGACTGGAATATGGAAACTAGAATCTCAATTTGACTATAGATAGAAATTTTCTATACAACTACGGTCTAAATGGCAACTACCGCAAAGCAACTTGTTCAACTGATAAGTATTAACAAATGAAAATGCGATAGTTGTCGCTGTTGAATTTCAATTTTAGCACCAAAGGACTTTTGCTAACCTACAGGGCTTTCGCGTGCATTTAATCACTAAGTAATCTAAGTATCATGGTCTTACTTTGTAATATTATGATTGCCAAACGTTCTAGTGCTTCACACATTGTCAAAGATGTTGTAAATTACTTGTTTTTAGAATACTTTGAGATGATTTTTGGAATTTTGTAAAACAACCAGTAACAGACGTGTGCAAGGTCGTATTACTTGTAATGTAAAATTATAAATATGACCTTGGGTCATATCACGCAAATATGACCAATACATTTAAGAATCGTAAAAAAGTGCAGTGTTTTTAAATATTCATCTAACCAAAGTTCTTCAGTAAAGTGTACGGAACTGGACTATATGGAAGAACCACTTTGCGTCACATTTCTTGTATTATTCTCCCAAGCAAGATATAAACGATGTTTGCGAAACTGGCATTTTTGTATGATATATCAAGCCGGTATTGAGCTATCAAGTTGTATGTAATCGTAGTTAAGACCAGGGCGGATCCAGGATTTTAATTCCTTAGTCGGAAGGGCGTGGTCGAACAAAATTTTAATAAATGGGCGTGGTCGCATTTATTAAAATTCTGCTAACGCAACATTGTTAATATGATGAATTATAAGGACTGTTTCACCCTATATCAGAGCTCATCAGCATGCCTAGGAATGGCACCACCACGTGAAAATGCAATTCCGACATGGACAGCCTCAACGTAATGAGAAGCCTTAAACAAAAGAGAGCAGTCTGGTTTTAAGGCGCCAGATACTCGCCTTTCACACCTTTGCAACAAAGCAACAGGAGTTTGATTAGAAAAGCGACAACGTGGGACATTTCAAAGATGTAAAATTGCTCAGTTTTCTACATCATCCCTGTCATTCTAATCCTTTAACCTCGCCCCAAGAATATGCACACATAATCTGAATCTAATGGTTATTTTGCCGAGCTAAACAGAAAAGTAACACAAACCACCGCTAAAGAAAACGTCGAAACGCTGACCTAAACATTCAATTTCCATAAATTTTGACGATACTCCAAGCTCAAACTGATTTCTTTTATAAAAAGGTATTGTTTAGGAAAAGATATGCTATTGACTGGTGACACAGTTAACTTATTAATTCCTTTGAGAGCATGACTCCAAATGTCAGTAACCCTGTTAATGATGAAGTTAAATATTTGGTCTTTCATAAGGTCAATTGTTCCTTCACAAGTATCACAATTAGACAAAGTTGTTTTATTCCCAGATCAAAACGCATATGCATTAATTAAGACCTTACAAAAGGTGAATATTTCTTGTATGTTAGGTAACTTCATCAAAACGCGCATCATATATATTTTAAGATGTAGATCGCCAGGGTTAGTATAGTCCTTAGAAGGACTGTTGGTGTTGAT